TCTCTCTCTCTCTCTCTCTCTCTCTCTCTCTCTCTCTCGTAGTTAATTGTCTATAGTTCTTTATCTATAAGCAGTGATTGTGTGATTTCCCTCACCAGTTATCCAAATTAGCAGGTCTACTGGTGTTGTCATTGTTCGGCTCTTGTTTAGTCAGCCATACTCTGATTGAGGGTATGGCTACCCTTTATATTTTGAAGACACGGTTTTAAAAAAGAAGATGTCCTGATTCTCTGGCTCTTACTATCTTTTTGTGCTCTCCTCTAAGATGTTACCTGAACATTGGGTGTTTATTTGACCAAGATACACTATATGTTACAAAAAATTGAATACCATAGATTAGTTTAGTTTTAGTCTATTAATATTTGAATCTTATTTTCTAATAATATATTTCCTGATATATTCCTAATATATTAAAGCAAAACTAGCTTAGCAGTGGAGGCACACACCTTTAATGTCAGTACTTGGGAGGCAGATATAGGTGGATTTCTGTGAGTCTGAGGCCAGCCTGGTCTATAAAGTTGAGTTTCAGGACACCTACAGCTGTTACACAGAGAAACCCTCCAGAAAGAAACAAAACAAAACAAAACAAGACAACAATAACAAAACAACAAAGATAAACTTTGATAAACAAAGATATGACTATGAAATATGTATTCAATTATAAATCTTTAACAAAATGTCAAAGTAATTTTTCTATCCCATGGGAAGAACATCTTTTGTTTCCTTTTTTAAAATTTCTTTCTTTTTATTTATTTTTTTGTCTTTCACATCATGCATTTAGATCCCATTTGTATCCTGCCCCTTCATATTTGCCCTCTGCCTTTGTAGCCCCCCCACTAAGTTTAAGGAAAAAGAAAAGAAATAAAAGGAAAAAAATCTCATTATTGATGCTACAGTGGGACATAAGGAGTCATGCAGCAAATCCATTTGTCCATGTATCTTTACTTGTAAGTGTTCATTGTAAAGAGTCAATTGTCCTCCCTCCTTCTGCTCCTCATTTGGACCTTGGGAGCTCAGTCCAGTACTCCAATGTGGGTCTGTGTTTCTATCTCCATCTATTGCCAGATAAAGGTTCTATGGTGATATGCAAGATATTGATCAGTGTGGCTATGGGACAAGGCCAGTTCAGGAACCCTCTTGCGAGGAGTGTGTCCACCCACTGAGATGGTGGGACTGTTCTAATGGGAGCTCACCAAGGCCAGCTGGACTGGGACTGATGGAGCATGTGATCAAACTGGACTCTCTGAATGTGGCTGTCAGTGAGGGCTGACTGAGAAGCCAAGGACAATGGCACTGGGTTTTTATCCTACTGCATGGACTGGCTTTGTGGAAGCCTGGTTTGTTTGGATGCTCACCTTCCTAGACTTGGATGGATGGGGGAGGACCTTGGACTTCCCACAGTGCAGGGAACCCTGACTGATCTTAGGACTGGAGAAGGAGGAGAAGGGGGTGGGGGGAGTGGGAGGGAAACAGGAGTTGGGGAAAATGTGTAAATTTTTAAGAATAATAATAATAATAATAAAGAAAACAGTCAATTGTCTTGTTCTGTTACTCTATCGGTGCTGAGCCTTTGCTGGGAATCTTCTTTGCTATGCTGCTGTTGCCTGGTGTAGTGGAGAATCTCCTACTTTGGGTCTGCAGTTCACAGAAGGGGTTGATATTGGTGTGGGCCAACCCATAACCCTGTTTCTGGGCCTGGGTAGTTGCTGTGTTGGTCAGTCCGCCAGCTCACCCTCATCCTCACTAGCAGGGTGAGCTCTCCTGCATTGCCTTGATGAGTTCACCCTTTGTAGTCAAGAGGAAGTTGATGTCTGGGACCAGTTTTCCTACTTTAATGGCTTCAGGGTCAGATCTCCCATACCTACACTGTCAGAGCCAGTTCAACTGTGTTGCCCAGGCGTGTCACGGGGCTACTCTTCCAAGCCCTCCAGCAGATTTACTTTTGTTTTCAAAACTGGAAATTTCATAAATATCATTGAAGTTTTACAGTTGCAGTTAACTACACTGCCTCGTTAGCATTAACTAAATTTATTTATATTCTTTGAGCTTTAATTAACAAAATAATTGAAAGAGAACCACTAAGATGGCTCATTGATAAAGGTGTTTCAGACCAAGAATAACTACCTGAGTTAGATCCCCAGAGCCCAAATGGTCCAGTGAGGTAACTGACTTCTAAAAAATGTCCTCTGAAAATGAAGAAAGCATGCTGAGTAAGCCAGGGAAAGCAATCCAATAAGCAGTACCTCTTTCATGACCTTTGCATCAGCTCCTGCCTGTAGGATCCAGCCCTGCTGAAGTTCCTGTTCTGACTTCCTTCAATATGGACAGCAATATGGAAGTATAAGCCACATACACCTTTTCCTCCCAACTTGCTTTTGGGTCATGGGATTTGATCACAGCAATAGAATCCCTGATTAAGTGTGACACCGAGTACAGTCACATCATTCATGTCGTTTCATGTTCTTCTCACAAAATTCTGTTATTCTTTTCATAGTCGCATAATAGATTAATATATACTGAAGACACATTGTAGAAATGGGTCTTACTGGGGAATGAGGTCTTGGTATGTGGGAGGACCATGAGTGCTACATTATTCAATCAACATCTCTTTTGGCACAAAGGTAATTCCTACTGCATCCCCCTTCCTTTTAAATAGTAATTACTGGTGGACAGGATTCAGGAAAGTCAGTACAGTGTTAAGGCTTTAAAAAGTTTCCAAAAGAGACCACTATTTAAGCAGAGGTACACTGCATGGTACGCCAATCGATACAGGGGCAGAGTGCTTTAACTGCATGAACACCTACACATCAGAGACATAAAATGTTACCGAGCGCCACTTGTAAGTGCCCTGTTACAGCCTAGCTGGAGCGTTCTGTGAAGAAATTAGCAGGTGTAGTTCCTGCTTGCTATTTACGAGCGGGTGCATTAATTTCGATTTAAGGAGCCTCGTTTCTGCCGGAGCCCTCCACCGCCTGTCTATAATTGGATAATGTGCTTCCTGCCTAAGAGTAGCAAGAGTTGTTTCCTTCTTCTGAAGTGAATCGATCAAGCTTTTTTTCACCTTCAGCTCTCACCCTCCACCAGTTGAGGGAGCACCAGACCTCTTCACGGGATGCTGGAGCAGTCTCTCCTTCTGGGACCTCTCCCTAGGAATCTGTGCCTTCCCCCAGTGAGAGCCCGGCCCTATGCGCAGCAAGCAAGTCAGTTCCAAACTTCAGCTTTCTCTTCACTAAGAAGTTCCATCACCGAGTTAGTCTTTTAAAGAGACAAATCCAAACAGGAAAATGATTTGGTGTGGACAAGGCAAACAAATCTTCTATTGTGTGTGTTTGAGACATTTTGTAGTATGGATTTGGGAGTTATCTCATATACACGTGAGCACCGCAAGGCAAGAAGTGCATACCTCCCTCGCAAACACACGCCTCGCACCCCAAGGGGACGCCAGATGTCCCAGTTGAGCCCTAACATGGAGAAGGCATGCTGAATATGTCACATGCTCTTACTGTGAGAGGACAGTCGTCAGTTGCCTCTCTGGCAATGAGAATTTTCTCACCCTCAAGACATGCAAATGACTTTTTTCATCTGTTCTTTTTATGTTATTTGCATAATTTTCTCCTGCAAAAGTGAGAGCTGTCAAAAATTAACCGTTTGGGGCTTCAACATTCAGTTTCGTGACCTTTTCCAGAGCATTAGATCTCTCCGGGGGCCTCGTAACTTTGGATGGGAAAGAGTCGAGGATACTGAGAAGTGGGTGAGGGGGTGAATGATGGATGGGGAGGAGCAGGGAGGTAAAGACACCTGGCTACATTTAAACAGCCACTTAGTATTTCCCCCTCTTGGATACAAAGATCATTGTTGCTGTTTCTTTCTTCCCAGCAACATTTAGAGATAATAGAAAAGATGTCTCTGTTAGGGTGTCAGAGACTCTTCTGTTGCTACTCTGGGTAACATAAACCTTTTTTTGTAAATGTGATGTTAATATAAAAATGCTACTTGAAAAAGTACAGAGCAGCCCTCTGTTTTGCACGCTTTGGTGCATATGCTTGTGTCTGTACAAAACTGCCGGATAATGCTTATTTAGGATGAATACTACCTTTCCACAAGTCAGAGAGTTGCCCTCTGGAGGGCTGTAATAAACCTTTGAAGTCATTTTAGTTAGACAAAGGTTGATATATGTGGCAGGCTGGGGGCAAAGGCAAATCCAGCTATCTCTTTTATCGCATTGCTTTAAACACGTTTCAGCTTTAGACTTGGCTTACAAATCAGCCCGATCAGTCTAGTAATTGTCTCGCTGCGCCTTATATCTAACATGAATGCATCTTGCAAAATCAGCCGGGGAAAGCAGATTTGCTGAAGTCCTGCAATGGCTAACACTGTGGCTAATCACCCTATAAATTATAGCCGGAGTTGTAGTTTATCCATCAGACTGGGAAAGACCAGTTTCCCCAGGGGCCTTGGTTCCTTTTCTGATTCCCAGGAGACCCACAACCTCTCCGCATGCTTTGCCTGCTCGCAGGGAGCGTTGCCTGCTAATCAGGTCAATGAACACCTCCTGGCTCCAGGGACCTGACAGGCGTCCATCACAGCAGTTAGGGAGCCTGCAAACAGTGCGAGCTCACGGAGAAACTCCCGCTAGAAAACATCGCTCAGTACTCATTTACTCACTGGAAATCTCCAAGGATTTCAGCTGATCTTTTTCTCCCTTCAGACAGCGAGGAGCTTGGCATAAACAGAGGCAAAGGAGCAGGGCACGCTGCCACTCTGTGGGTGTTGATTGAAAACTTCGATCTGCCCACCGCTTCACGGTTGATCTGAAGGATTTCTCACTTGATCACAGAGAGTATTTCAATTAAGGTAAGTGCTGCTGTGCCTGACTGGCTGTATCGCGCGGAATCCCTGCACGGAAAGTTCTTACTGTCTGCGCTGACATTCTGCACTGCAGTAAGTGGCTGGCTATGGCAGGGCAAGGCTTAGTTTTACAAGCAAGGGTCCTGGATCGGAGCCTGCATTTGGGGATAATGGTATTTTGGAGGCGGTCTCATAAAATCTGATAGTTCTGCTTTTCATCAATAGAAATTAAATATTATGTGCAAAGGTGAACGACTTTCTTTGCTTCTTTAATAATCTGATTAGAGACCTGCAGGGTGTCAAGGTAACTTGGTTTTGTTTGACGTTTTTACTTGATATAAGAGAAAAAATTGGACTCGGAAACCTTACTGGGGATAAAGAAATTTACAAACAATTTCTGAGATCCTGTGGCAGGTCTCTACTTCCACATTATCCCTGCACTTCCGTTAGGTGTAAGGATGCAGGATTGAATCTCTGAGAGTTTAAAAGTGTGCAATAAGGAACTGAAATATAAATGTTTACAGTGTTTGATAAACTTTTTCAGAGAAATTAAGCTAAAGGATTGATTATTCTATAGGTGTAAGGTATAGTTCTTATACAAGGTAGATGGGGTTCTCTTATTAAATAAGCTTTGAAAAAAACACTGTTTTCTGAAATGTTTGTTGTAAGGAAGGGAATTTAAGGTTATATACCAAAATCTCAACTTTTAGGTATGTTATTTCTGTTATCCATCTACAGAATTGAGGTGAGGTTAACAGACACACGTTTCGGCAAATATCCACTTAGTTTCAGGAAATAGTACGTCTTACTTTTGTGCACATTTTTCTTCTCACTTTGTGGGTGGTCCCTAGAAAGGCAATGGTAAAACTTTTTCCAATGTTAGCTTGAATGATGCCAACTTTTTTTTTTATTTCCTCTTTTAGTTTGCACATGTAAATATAGCCTGAAGTATTTCTGACACAATGATCAATAAGATCATGATAAACAAAAATAGTTTGTTCATTAAATTTACAGAGAATCTATTATTTATCATTCTTAACAGGGAAGAATAGTGACTGTGTACCTTGCAATTGTGTGGGTCAATTACTATAAAACCATTTTTAAGTAATTAGATACACTCTTTAAAATACAATTGCATGCTGTCACAATACTTTTTGTTCTGAATTTCAATAACTAATCTGAAATACTCAAGTGCAAACAAAATATGTAGCTGCCTTGTGTGTATCATTTGTCATGGTATCCAAATGTGGTTTTAAAGTGACCAGTCATATTTCCCAAATATGGAATTCCACTTTCCTTCCATAGGTGTCATGAGATGGGAAATCTTGTAAAGATATCAGAACACTGTATTAATTCCCCATCCTTCTGCAGTTCGTGGGGGCTGTTCAGGCCAGTGCTATAGCTATTGCTTCTACATAGGGATACCATAAGAAGAACTGTAGGCTGGTGTTCTGGCTAGTTGTCTGTGTTCTCAGTCAATGCCTGAAGATAATTTGCTGTTTCTATTGCTCCGAGATGTCTATCTCTTTGTTGGGATAGGATGGCTTCTCTAGGATTTAAAGATAACCATGGAAAATTGTGTTCACCACAGTCACTACTCAGGGTAGCCTTAATCGCCTCTATACTTCCAAGCAAAGTAGGTGGGGAGGTAAATAACCAAAACCTGTTTGATATTAAATCATTTTTCATTGCTAGCATCAGTTCTGTAGTGTAGACTATCCCATGTACTAAGTTCAAACTGATGGCAAACTCAGCACAGTGAACTTCTATAGGACATTCTGATCAATGAAGTGTATGACAATCAATGAATAAGCATAGTGTGTTCTAATGTATTTATATAAACACAAAACAAAGGACTATTACATTGCTGTTGCCATATTCTTACTTTTCATTATAGAAACATATGAGGGAATGGAGAAAGTCTTATGAGCAATTGGAAACTAGGAGTTCAGGTCTTCAAGATGACTCAGCGGTTAAAAGTGTTTGCCACCAAGGCTGGGAATATGAGTTTAATTTCCATGGCCCAAATGGTAGAATAGGAGAAAAGATTCCTGCAATTTGTCTTCTCAGCTCCATATGCACACTGTAGCACACGTATGTACATGTACATTGATGCATGAATGTGCATACATATGCACACCCATACACACACACTAAATGAATGTAAAATAATAGTAAATTTAGCTATTATTTTAGGTAGAATGCATGTTTTACTTTTCTCCAACTTATGATGTTATTGACACGTGTCACTATACATCTAGGAGCTATGTGGATTATCCATTTTGATTCACTTGATTATTATATATTCCTTGTGCAATATCAGAAAACATTTTATGGGACACATTTACACAGAATAAAGCAGTCGCTAAAAGTAAAGAACTGTAAAGACTTCATAAAATTTAGACTGGGACTAAAGCTCAGTCTAGAGCATTTGCCTAGTATGTGTGAGTTCCTAATACCAAATCCCAACACACTCTCTCCACACCCTCACACACTTGCAAACACACAAACACACACACACGTGCGCACGTTTAATCATTTAAATTCAAAGTCACTTTTAGCGATCTGAAATTAAAAAGAAGTTAAGGATAATTCATATTCATCCCAAAGACAAGTAGAATATTAGACAATATAGAAAAATTACTATTTGAAAATGAATATGAATATGTGAACTCAAATAAGTATAACAACAATTAATAAGTTTAAATTCAATAAAGTTTATTTGTTTCTTATGAACTTATGTAAACTTTCTCATATGAAGAAAGAATGTCTGTCTATAATTTAGCAATACCTGATTTTCTATACAAAAATAGATACAATATTATTTGATTAAAGAGAGAGTGATGTCACAAAATTAACATTAAACTGGAAAACTTAATACAATTAACTGCCAAACGCACAGTTGTCATAAAACCACAAGTGTAAGTTAGATTGTATGTCTGTGGTGTATGATAGTACCTTTTATTCCAATTATCTGCTAAAATCTAAAAACTAGAGCGTAGAGCCTAGGAACTCAGATTAGCAGATAAGAGTACTTACTCGTCTTGCAAAAACAAAGTGAAACAAACAAAATGAAATAGATTTGCTTTCCAACATCGAAAACAAATGGCTCAAAAAGTTTCTGCAATTCAAGTTCCAGTGGATTCAGTGCCCACCTTTGGTGTGGAAAGTCCTTCTGTATATATGTTGCTTTTATTGGTTAATGAATAAAGCTGCTTTCAACGAATGGCTTAGTGAGAAATCCAAGCAAGGAGAGAGAGAGAGAGAGAGAGAGAGAGAGAGAGAGAGAGAGAGAGAAATAAAGCAGAGCCATGTAGCCGCCACAGAGATAGACACCTCCACCAGAGCCCACCGAAACTTTACCAGTGGCCATGACCTTATGGTGATGCATAGATGAATGGAGATGGATTAGTTTAGGATATAAGAGCCAGCTAGAAATATACCTAAGCTATTGGCCAAACAGTATTGCAAATAATATAGTTTCTGTGTGATTATTTCAGGTCTGAGAGGCAGGGAACAAAAAAGAGCCTCTGCCAACACAACTTTGGCCTCTGTAGGCATCTACATGAATATGATATACATACCAATAGTTAGAAAATAAGCAAAACAGATGAAATTAAAAAAAAAACTCTTAAATCAAATTACACTATATATTACGCAAAAAAGTCCAACAACAATTAGAAAGAAAATCAAGAATCTGTCTATATATTACACACACACACACACACACACACACACCCAAGCGTGTGCACACACACACACACAAACAAACGTAATCTATATCAATAAGCAGAATTTTAATCATAGTTTTATAGACTGATAAATTTTTGGCCTATTCTGCATTCGTGTAAAATGACAGAAAATTAATATATTAAACCTATAACTTATTTCTAAAGTATGAGTACGGTAAGTATAGACTTGTCCTGCAAAAATGCAGGCGATGGTACACAGGTAGAAAGCATAGCTACTCCCATGAAGATTAGGTGGTCTTTACATTTTAGCCCAGAAATAAATGTGACGAGTCTCAGTCATTGCAAGAATACCTCCTGACCACCTTGTCCTTACATGAAAACCATGAAATAAAAGATATTCTCAAGAAAGATACTGGGTCTCTGAATTGCTGATTCTAAATTGTAATTGCTTTGTGGTTCTAATATGAGAGTCACAAAAATGACAGTCTAGAAAAATCATATATAAGGCTGCACATTTAAGATAGGTTCCATACAATAAATCACCATAACTCAACAAACAAACAAAAAGAGATGGAATTTCTGGTTTACTGTTAAGGCTAATGCAAGAAGAGTGCTTCCTTGAGGAGAGAGAGCAAGTCTTTGTGTCCTATGTGTTATAATAGACATGCCATAAAATACCGAGGCAATTTTAAACTTTTTCCATTTTGTTTATTAGTGGTCTAAGCTCATTTAACTAGTACATATTGAAAAAAGTCTTGCTTTACAAATTAATACATTATAATTGACTTAATATCTTATAAAGCTATCATCCTTCGAGCCAGTAGATAGGGTACATCTATAGAAACATATTCTGCATGTAACCTCACTCAAGCCTAACTCCCCCGAGGGCATGCACTTGCTCTGTAACTATGGCCAATTAGTTAAGATAGCTAAGTCTTGTTCTTATGTTTTTTGACATGGCCATAATTATAGTATCTCTCCTATAGACCTGTTGTGACACATGCAGGAGATAATGGGTCTAAGGCACTCCTAATCTGTCAAGTGTTCTGAAAATGATAATATTGTAAAAAAGGAAGCATTGCTAGTCATTCATCTTCCACTTGACTTAGCTAGGAGAGATTATTGCTATGTCTTTCTGGCAGGAATAAACAGCAAAGACATAATCTCTGAGATCTGGTTCTTAACACTGCACTGACGGCAGAACCTTTGCATTTTAAGAAAATGCAATTTCTTTCATTGGATTTCCACTGGTAAGGGAATGTGTCCTAAAGGAGTGTAATCTAGGAGTCAATTTAGAGAAAACTTCCTACTTTA